GTCACAATTACCATTCAAATTTCAATTTACAAATTTTGTATATGTTCTTTTACATGACGATGGGGTTACTGAAGATAATAGAATTCTAGCCTTTTCATGCTGTAAAAAAAGAAATGGGCCCAATTATGCTATACATTGGTAGTCTCAAGGCCCAATAAAATTAAACAGAAAACGTCGTCGTGTATAAAACAGAAGAAATTGAACCAAAGAGAGGAGAAATCGAATCCTGCTCCTCCTCTTCGTTCGTTTTTTCTCAGTTTTCTTCGATTCTGGAGTTCTGCGAGTCAAAAGCGAAACCAAAACCCTAATTAGAACTCGGTCTCGTCTCCATCTTCACTGTAACATGTGTAGATCTACATGTTAATCCTTCCTTTGTTCGATTCTGAAAGTCCTTCTTCAGTATTTTTTAGATTGGTGAAGCTTTAATTATCAACTCTGCATCTAATTGTTGCGTCGAATTGATCGCTCTGACGAAGAAACCCTAATTTCGTGGACACTGTGCGAATTTCCAGAATCAGCTTTGTGAGTAGGAAATCTCATTGACGAAGATGCCGCAGGTTAAGATCATCGCGAAGAATTTTATGGATATGGTGGCTTCTCTTCCCGCCATCAAGCTCGATAAACTCTACAACAATGTCTTCATCTGCGAAGCCATTCTCAGGTTTGAATTATTAACCCTAGATGATTTTATATGATTCAGTTAACCTAGTGATGTTGCGAGTTGTTTTGTTGAATTTGAAAAAAAAAGTTGAGGAGCTAATAAGATTCTTGAGATGTTTTCAGGTCTTTGCCTCCTCTTGCCAAGAAATATGTATTGCAGATGTTGTACACTGATGTTCCTGTACCTGGCACGATGATGGAAGAGTGGGTTCTTGCGGATGGTGTTTCTAAGCACAGAGTTGCTATAGATCGACTGATTCAGTTACGGATTTTTTCGGAAATGGTAGATAGGTAATCAGTCATTCTTGGTTTTGTTTGTCATATATGGATTTTCAAGATACTGTCATTTAGTTCAGTACTACTTCAGTCTATCCACTGTGGAGGAATATATAAGTTGAATTGTCAAATCGGAAATTTTTTTGAATTCCGTTTTAATCTTGACGGTGGAAATCGATATGAGCACTCAACAGTCTAAGCTTTTTCGTACACTTATCCATTGTGCATGGATTGATTATGATTGATATGTGGCAAGCGGATAGATCCAATTCTTTTTCCGATAACAATTTAGGCTGCTCTTCCTACTTTTTTTCAGGAAAAATCAAACCAGTTACAGCCTAAATCCTACATTTCAGAACAATCTTCGGAAACATATAATTTCTGGGTAAAGACATCTTCACGTTGATGACACAGTTGTTTTTTGTTTTCCTCTTCTTTAGGTTATTGGGAAAGATCTTGATGAGCTAAACTTGAATTTTGTAGTGGAGTTTTGCCTAGAGAACCTATGAATTCCGACAATGCCATAAAGCTTCCAAGTCTACTAGAACTCGAAACCTATGCCCTTCGGCAATGGGAGGTATGTAGTTTCTAATTACATATATGATAATACTAGTAAAATGGAAACAAATTGTATAAATAATATTTTTCAGGGATTTGGTTAGTCTCTGATGATTGGTAGTTATGTTTGTTAGTGTTTCTTGCTACAACTCATAAATCCGAGTCAAGGTGAAAAGCTAGCTGGCATCAGTCCGTCCATGATGAGAATTTTCCAGCGAGGTCTATTGAGTCAGAGGTATTGTTGTTATACACGTCTTTAGATGCATAGTGGTGGCATAGAGCCTCCATGTTTAATACAGTTCGTGTGATATTACAGAGACAAAGATGGCCCGAGACTAACTGAGAGTGGCTTTCAGTTTTTGGTATGCAAAATGTGAGTCATTGATCTTTTATTACTTGTCTTCATTTAAGTAACCTTGTTGACCCTAATTTGCAGCTGATGGATACAAATGCCCAGCTTTGGTACATTATCCGAGAATACATATCAAATGCCGAGGTTTATATCATGCGTTGATAAGGTTTAGTTAAGTTGATATCTCTGTTTTGCCGTATGAATAATTGAATGCCATTGTTTTTTCAGGAGCGAGATGTAGATCCAGCAGACCTGATTTCATTTTTGTTAGAGCTTAGTTTTCATGTTACTGGTGAGGTATAACAGACAGTCACAAATTCATTTGAAGTTGTACTCTTCATTGATTTAGTGCTGGAAGCTTGTTAATAATTTTGCTGAGCTTTAACATTCTTGTACACATTACAGGCATATAACTTAAATACATTGACAGAGGTTCAGAAAAATACACTCAAGGACCTTGCAGACTTGGGATTAGTCAAGCTTCAACAGGTTATACCACCTGTGATATCTTTCTCATTACCAAAAGAAGAAAATTTTGCAAAAGCTAAAGTTAGAAAGTTTATAGAGTATCATAGGCTGAACCGATCTTTATGATTCCAGGGAAGGAAGGACAGTTGGTTCATTCCTACTAAACTTGCTACGAATCTATCAGTCAGTCTGACAGATTCATCAGTGCGGAAAGAGGTCACCTTTCAATATCCCTGTTGTCCCATTTCTATCTACTACTACCAGTAACTTTCTTGATTTTTCTTATCCTTGTTACTTGTTATATCTCATCAGGGATATGTCGTAATGGAAACAAACTTCAGGATGTATGCTTACTCAACATCTAAGTTACAATGTGAAATTTTACGGCTGTTTGCAAGGTAGAACCTCTGAAACTCTGCTCTGGTGTGTCTCGAAATATTTTAGGTTTAAGTAGTTGCTGTTCTTATGTTTCCAGGATAGAGTACCAACTTCCAAACCTTATTGCTGCTGCAATTACAAAGGAAAGTTTGTACAACGCATTTGACAATGGCATCACATCAGACCAGGTAGAGTTGGTTTCATCTGTTACCGTACAGGTTTTAATACTACATGTGACTGTGACCCATTACTGTCCATGGGATGTTGATAAAATTGTTGATGCTTCTCTTAAATCTTTTTCTGAATCTTCTTTTTTCCTTCCTTTCTTTTGGTGGTTGCAGATAATTACTTTCCTTCAGCAGAATTCTCATCCAAGATGTGCTGATCGAATCCCATCTATTCCAGAAAATGTCACTGACCAGGTTTTGACTCTCTCTCTCCTTCCACCTAAAACGTGAAGAGGGACTAGTTTATTAAATCTTGAAAGCATGTATGCTGTCTTCACTTCCTGGTTCATCGAGCTCTCTTGCTGATGTATAGAAATGCAATGTTTCCTGTAGATACGGCTTTGGGAGGCAGATTTGAAGAGAATCGAAATGACTCAGGCTCACTTCTACGATGAATTTCCGTCAAAAGTAACAGAACCG